AAAAAGCATACCTTGGACTAACACAGTTAAATACCTAGGCCTTATCCTCGACTCAGGAATCACTTGGGCACCAGCCACCCAAAAACGTGCAAACTTAGCATACCCAGCACTCCGCAGATAATATCCTCTGATCTCAAGAAACAACAAACTAAAAACCGAAATTAAACTAAACCTGTACAAAATCTGTGTCAGACCGATCATAACATATGGACTTCAAGTATGGGCGGCAGCTGCCAAAACCCACATAAACAAAATACAAAAAATCCAAAACAAATTTTTAAGAATCATCCTGAACAAACCCTACGACACATCAATAAAGACGCTCCATCTAAAAGCCAACATTCCCACAATAGAAGAATACATCAAAACAACAATGATTAAAGCATTCCATCCAAACCACGAAAATCCACTAATCAAAGCCATCGGGGACTACCAAATAGACAGTATTCCTCTAAAAATAAGAACAAAACTACCAAAACACGCAACACTAAAAAATCCCTAGCACAGAAATCAATCAAAACTAAAGAATCCCATACTCTAGTTCCGCAGGTTTTTGAAAATTTTATCCTGCAAAATCACCACCACCAGACTCAAAAGCAAAAATCAAATAAAAAATCATGAAATCCAAACACGACTGTTTTCATTTATGCAGGTCATCAGGACGCCCAAATCCTAGGGAACAGCAACTCAGCCACATAAGGAGAAAAAAAAAAAAAAAAAAAAAACGGAAGGACAGTCCGTCAGCAGAACGTCACCTAAGTCGAACGTCGGAATCGGTCTAGCGTGAAAATATACACTTTGTCCTCAACGAGAAGTGCCTTGTAAAATTATTGCCTACAAATTTATAAATATTTTTGTATTCTATATAAGTGAAATCAAAGTTTAAAAATCCACAAGCAAAGAAAACAGTTGATAACATTATATGAAAATATTATATGAAAACTATTTTATTTTAAATTACTGTGAAAAGAACATAATTGTTCAACTTTTTGGGGTATTAATTTTGTTCGCGTGGCTGTTACCACGTTGCTAGTATCTGACAATAAGCCTTCTTTTATTTGGGTTTCCTTTTTAGCCGGTCGAAAGCCGAGAGTTGCCAAGAGCACTTGACATTGTCATCGCAGTTATCCATGCATCTTTTTCTTTTAAGTTAATTTAGTATACATTGTATACGCAAGTTTCCTGTGAGTTTTATTTTCTATTTATTTTCGAACTCTTCGTCGAAAATCACTCAAGATTGCTTGTGTTTCCTAGAATCGAATAAAGATTGAAGAAAGAATAAGTGTAAAATCCAATTGAAAAATCACCCGACTCGCGACATAATATTCGGGTATATAATATCCGAATATTATAGATTTTAGAGTACCCGAGTCGACCTCAATTTTCGATTTTCAAAATAAATCTGGTAACACTATCCATTTTTTGATTTTCGCGGTATAAAGCTTGCTTGAATCAGTACGACAGAATGTATCTCCTCCATACATCTTCCAATCGTGGGAAAAAATACATTGTATGCTAGGTCTATTCATATGTTTTGTTTGTTGTATTACAATGTTGGACAGTGTTGTCGTTTCTGCATCGGAAATTATTTATTGAATTGAATCCGATGACACTTTATTACGAGCAAATATACATATGTATGTACATACAACAGTCATAATAAATAAAGAATTTAGTAGATATTGTTTAAAAACAGCTCTATCATCGTATAGTATGATTTTTCAAAGTGCATTGTTTAATGGATCTCTATGATTCTGTTTTTTACTACTGAATTTTTTCTACACGTTATTCTGAATAAAAAATAATTAAAAAAGAAATTAATATTTCTTAAGATGCTTCAAATTTTATACAGGATGCGGCTTTTGAATGAAAACATATCTGCTGTATTGTTTTTATGAACAAGATGTTCGAGAAAGAGTTGCACTATTTCATTGAAAGTGGAAAGAATTATTTTCAGGATCATTTAAAAATGGAAGTAGTGGAACTCATATCTTTGTCAATAATCTTATAAAGCATTAAAACTAAAGTTTAATCATCTGAATGATTATTTCGTTCCAATCATTTAATTTAGAAAAGCTTTTGTTTGAAAAATCGAGGAAATGGATGAGCTTTCGCTCTCACGCTTTCACTTTTCTGATTTCTAAAGTAGCAGATGCTCTAAGTGGAATTCTTAGAACCCTTAGGAAAAAACAAAAATTCTTTCGTAAAAACGACTTATTCTAGACTTTTCTCAAGGCTAAAAATTAATAGAAAGCAATCCTTGAAAGGAACCAATTCGAGGTATTCCTCGGCACTTGGAGCGTCATGTGTTCGAGCCTCATACGAGCCTACATTCCTGGTGTCTGGACTTCGTCGTCCGATACGAATCGCTCGCACCGAGGTGAAGCACATCTCCGGCAGGCCTGTGCATGAACGAATCGTGGCGCCAGACTGTCGCCTTGAGTCCAAAGTTTGGGAGAAGGGGCACAAGCCCGAGCATCGGCCAGTTCGTTCTGAACAACCCTCGAGTTCACTTCGGCAACGTAGTGTCAGTTTTTATCTGTGCAGTGCAAGTTCTCTTGCGTGATCACGGTCAAACTTCGGGCACCCTTCAACAAATAACGCTTTCTCTCTGAGTTCTAGGCGAGAACTTGACCAGCAACGGATAAGGAATTCTCTGAGAGAATTCCCCCTTTTTGCCTACGTACGAAGTACTGCAGCGTCCTTCTCCAGCAATCGAGACTATCAACGTGCCCAGCACGAGTAAGGACTGCTCACAGTGAAGCCTGACAACAAGCGCGCCTTGCATCACTTCCTCAGCGAAGTCATTCTCCAGGCGTGCCTTGCACTACTCATGGGACTTCTTCTTTGAAGTCGGAGACCACGCTAGCTCTCCCATTCGGGAGGCTACTCCGTATGATCACATTTCTTTTAGCGATTTTTACTGCAACCTGTGTGACCTGCGTAAACTGCTGTCTTCTCAGCGACGTCATTAGTAACCCGCGTAAGCTGCTGTCTTCTCAGCGACGGCATCAGTGACCTGCGTAAGCTGCTGTCTTCATCAACGATACCTGCGTGAGCCGCTGTCTTCGTCAACAGTACCGGTGTGAGCAGTTGTCTTCGTCAACGACACCTGTGTGAGCTGCGTGAGCTGCCTTTGCAGCTAACAACATTCACAAGGCGACAAGCGTTCCAGCCCTCACAGCTAAGTGGCGCTCAGATCCTACACGACACTTCAACATGGCGAGCGACTTGATTGTGCAGAACGTGGTCAGGAAATATACTCATTTGTCAAAAGATATTCGTCTGTGTCGATTCCTCTGTTCTCTTAACCCTCTTCTACATTTTAAACATTTGGTCCTTCGAGCCGGATACACAGAGGGAAAACAGACGAATCTCAAAATGAGACTTGACCACGTTGTGCGACGAGCCGATAAGCAGCTGATCTTGAGTGCCTCAATCGCTAGAGCGTTTAACCGTCTCACCTCTCGACCGATCACTCGGGAACGCATAGAGATCAGACTGCGACAGTTGAATCATTGATTGGGAGTCATTCAAATCGCAGAATTCGCTCAGTCATTAAGCTCACGCTCGCCATGTTGAGGTTAGACGGTACTGACCGCCACAAGTTAAGAGAACATGCCTATTTCGTCGAAGATATCTTTGAGGCAACAAAGGACGGTTTTCTGGAAACTGCCGCTAGAATGTCCACCTTGCTGACTGATCAACGACCTCATTCAAATAGAACATCGCCAGAAAGGTCGATATCTCAGCCGCCAACCATTAGTTCGTTCGTTAATGCGCCCCGCCTTCCGCGGATCGATTTGCCAAAGTTTAATGGCAGCCACGGGGACTGGCTGTCATTCCGAGACTTGTTCACGTCCTTAGTTTTGTCTAATGGGAACATTTCCGCCGTTGAAAAGACTAGTCTTATTGGTCCTGCTTCCCATTTTCTTAAGAACACCACTGTTACTTCCGAGAATTTTCAAAAGGCGTGGGATTCACTTACCGCCTTCTATGAAAATAAGAGACTTCTAGTTGATTCCGCGATTCACTCACTCTTCTCTCTGAGAAAAATGACCAGGGAATCTGCGTCTGAGATGGAAGCATTTTATACGTCAATCTCGCAGATATATTGCACACTAGAAACTCTGAAACGCCCAGTCCAATACTGGGATGACATGCTCGTGTACATTTGCGTCCAACGGTTAGATTCTGATTCCGTCAAGGCATGGGGACAGCATCTGGGTTCTTCCAAGGAGCCGCCAACTTAGGAGCAACTTAGCGACTTCCTTTTGTTGCGATTTCTGTCGCTCCAAACGTTCGCAGTCCCGACCTCCCCTTCAATCTCGAACTCACTCCGTGCGTTCCCATTCTGCCAGCGTAAGATCATCAAATGCTGAGCCAGAATCCACGTGCCTCCTCTGCTCGGATAAACATCACTTACCTCAGTGTCCAACGTATCGACAAAAGACAATGCAAAACAGACGACAATTCTTTCAAAACAACCGACTGTGTTTAATTGCCTCGGACGCTCGACACTGCCGGTCGGCAGGGCGCTGTTTGAAATGTGGGACCCGGCATCACACGACTTTACATCTGGCCTCAGGGTCAACCACGGACCTATAAGCGCGACTCAACGCACACGACTTCTGTGGAGTCGATTCCAAATTCTACACCATCAACCGTCGACGAATCTTCAGTGACGATCAATCACACCCACTCTGCGAGCGTTGCGACAAAAGCACTTGTTCTGCTAGCGACCGCTCAAGTCAAAGTGACCAGTCAGTACGGAGAACCTGCTCCTGCACGAGCTCTCTTGGACCAGGGGTCTGAGGTATCGCTCATTACCGAACGACTAGTTCATCAACTTCGTATCCCTCGTAAATCGTCCAATGTTCGAGTCATAGGAGTCGGAAGACAATGTAACAGCAAAACGAAAGGAGTCATTCGACTCCTGATCAAACCTCGATTTAAGTCTTCCCTTGAGTTCGAAGTCAATGCTTCCGAAGTTGACTGAAATGATCCCAAAACTGTCAAGCGAACCCGCGACGTGGCCTCACTGGGAAAACTTACTGTTAGCTGATCCACACTTCGGAAACCCGGAAGGCATCGACATTATCCTAGGAGCAGAGATATACGGGCATCTTCTCGAAGGCTCGATTATAAAAGGTCCTTCAAACGCCCCTATCACTCAGGCATCAAAACTTGGCTGGATCTCCGGCCCAACCCACTCTTATTTAGCAGCCGTCGAGTCTCAAGCTTATCATTGTTCAGTAACTCATGACTTGCATGAGTTACTGGAACGGTTTTGGCACCAAGAGGAAGTCAGTGGATTGAAGAAGGAAACTCTGTCCACAACCGAACAAGATTGCGAAAATCATTTCGCCTCCACCCATTCACGAACCCCAGCCGGAAAGTACGTCGTTCGGCTACCGTTGAAATTACCGGTCGCTCGCTTAGGGGACTCGAAACCCTCTGCAATCAGTATGCTGCATCACCTGCAGCGCAAATTTAAGTAGGATCCAACATACTTCCAAGCTTATGCTGCGTTCGTGAAGGAGTATCACAATTTGCGGCATATGACCCGGATCCCTGACGGCGAACCAGACCCGCCGTGTGTTTTCTATCTTCCTCATCATGGAGTCATACGAGAGAGTAACTCCACTACCAAACTGCGAGTCGTCTTCAATGGGTCATGTAGAGTCGCTAACGGACTGCCCCTCAATGAGATCCTCCACACAGGGCCAAAATTGCAGAAAGATCTTTTCGATGTATTAATGTGGTTCCGTTGCTTTCGATTCATTTACGCCTGTGACATCGAGAAGATGTACCGCCAAATTCTAGTTGATCCCGAGGATCAAATTTACCAGCGAATTCTGTGGATAGAAGATCGCGTACGCATCCCTTATCAACTTGCCACTGTTACTTACGGATTGGCCTGTGCCCCGTATCTCGCCCTCAGGGTGATCCAACAGCTGATCAAAGACGAAGGTCATAGATTCCTACTCGCTGTCAGCGTCATGGAGAACGGACGATATGTCGACAACATCTACGGAGGAGCTGACACCATCGACGAAGCAAAAGAGACTGCACTGCAGGTGTCTCAGCTCTGCATGGCGGGCGGCTTTCCGCTGCGCAAATGGACTAGTAACGATCCTCACGTATTGACAACTATTCCGGCTCAGCACCACAATCCCATTCAAGGTCCATTCAGGACGATGTCGTTCGCGCCCTCGGATTATCATGGAATCCACGATCAGACACTCTCCATTTCCATTTCACTCGATCAATATCTGAACACCCATCGAAACGAGCTGTCCTCTCTTGTATCGCTCAATTCTTCGACCCTCTCGGTCTCCTATCGCCCATCATTGTTCGAGCAAAAGTCTTCTTGCAAGAACTCTGGGCAATAAAGGTATCTTGGGACGAGCAATTGCCGGACTCTCAGAAGCAGACCTGGCATGGAATCTAATGGTGGGATTAGAAACAATTGAGATGGCTTGGGACAACCTCCGCAATGAGTCTTGACCTTCACGGTTTCTGCGACGCCTCACAATCAGCAATGGCAGCGGTTCTTTACTCACGCGTGTGCCCATCTCCTGGCAAAGCCCACACTGCACTCCTTTGTTCAAAGACCAAAGTGGCTCCTCTGAAACGCATGACCATTCCGCGACTGGAGTTATCAGCGGCCGTAATGCTCACAAGGTTAGTCTCTCACATGCAGCGAGTCCTGAATGTGCCGACGCATGGTGTTCATTTATGGACGGATTCATCCATTGTCCTCACATGGTTGAATCATCACTCTTCTCGTTGGAAGGAGTTTGTTCACAACCGGGTTTGTTTCATCCAAGAAGCACTTCCTCAAGCCCACTGAAGGCACATCTCCGGCAAAACCAATCCCACGGACTGTGCGACCAGGGGTCTCTCAGCCTCGCAATTAAACAATCATCGGCTCTGGTGGTCTGGGCCCACTTGACTCTCCGATGATCCCACCCTCTAGCCAAGTCATTCTCCATCGGCGCAAGAACAACCTCAAGCTTTGGAAGAACGAAAGTCTTTGATCATCCAGAGTCTGCACGTTTCAGCTGACGAACGTATTTGGGATCTTGCCTCTCGATTCTCCTCTCTCAATCGACTACTTCGTATCACCGCGACTTGCAAGCGAGTTCTGTTGCGAGCCAGACGAGTTCCCAACACGTCTCTAGTTCACGTCCTCACGCCTGAGGAGCTAGCCAAAGCTTAGCGATTCTGGATCGCAGCAACCCAACACAGTCATTTTTCAACCGAGATCAAACTACTTTCGACATCTACGGAATTCCCCAAGTCGAGCCCTCTTACGAAACTTTGTCCCTTTCTCGATTGTCATCACCTGTTACGTGTCCGCCGACTTGAGCACTCATCACTCGATCCGCTCGCTAAGCATCCACACATCCTTCCAAGGCACTCAGCATTGACCACCTTAATCATTCGAGACGCGCATGAACGAACGTTCCACGGCTCGACGCAAGACACCCTCTCGTATATCCGAAATAAGTACTGGATTCTTGGTGGACGAGCACCTGTTTCGCTCATTTATCCTTAAATGCGTTAAGTGCACACGATTCCGTCGAGTTCAAGCTCAACAAATAATGGGTTAGTTGTCATCGTCACGAGCATTTTTACATTCCGGGGTAGATTACGCAGGTCCCTTTTCTCTCAAAGCATGGAAGGGACGATCAACACGAACATACAAGTGCTGGGTCTCCCTTTTCGTCTGTCTTTCAACTTCTGCAATCCAATTAGAGCTCGTAACCGACTATTTGACAGAAGCATTTATTGCCGCCTACCATCGCTTCACCGCACGACGCGGAATTCCAGCTACCTTGACAAGCGATTGCGGGAAAAATTTCAAGGGAGCTGATCAACAGTTAAAATTACTCTTCTCAGAAGCTTCTAGTGAGCATAAGCAGGTCGCGTCACTAATTTCTAATGACGGCACGAAGTGGAATTTCAATCCCCTCGCCGCCCCCCACTTTGGCGGAAAGTGGGAAGCTGGAGTAAAATCAATGAAATACCATTTGAGACGCGTAGTTGGAACAACTCTCTTCACGTACGAGGAAATGAGCGCTCTCCTGACGAGAATCGAAGCGATTCTTAACTCGCGACATTTATGCTCCTTGACCAATGACCCGAATGACCTCACTGTTCTGACACCAGGTTACTTCCTTGTCGGACACTCGTTAACCCTTATTCCTGAGCCGGACCTAACTCACCTCAAACCAGCCCGACTCTCTCGCTGGCAACAAATATGTCAGATGGTGCAAAGCTTTTGGACAAAGTGATCAAAGGAGTATTTCCAACGGTTTCACGCGGTGTACAACTGGAACAAGGCATCCTCTTCAATTTCGATCGGAACCTTAGTTCTCATCGTTGACGAAAGATATCCTCCCAGCAAATGGCCGTTGGGTCGCGTTGTCTCATCCTGCAGCCGACAACCTGGTCCGAGTAGTTTCAATCAAAACCGGCCCATCTATCTTGCGGCGTCCGATCACGAAAGTTTGTCCATTGCCCATCGATACCCCCTTTGAGGAATGTTCGTCGCCGGAGTCAACGAAGGCGGGCGGGAATGTTTGAAAAGTCGAGGCAATGGAAGAGCAAACTTTCGCTCTCACGCTTTCATTTTTCTGATTTCTAAAGCAGCGGATGCTCCAAGTGGAATTCTTAGAACCCTTAGGAAAAAACAAAAATTCTTTCGTAAAAACGACTTGTTCTAGACTTTTCTCAAGGCTAAAAATTAATAGAAAGCAATCCTTGAAAGGAACCAATTCGAAGTATTCCTCGGCACTTGGAGCGTCATGTGTTCGAGCCTCATACGAGCCTACATTCCTGGTGTCTGGACTTTGTCATCCGAGACGAATCGCTCGCACCGAAAGCACGTCTCCGGCAGGCCTGTGCATGAACGGATCGTGGCGCCAGACTGTCGCCTTGAGTCCCAAGTTTGGGAGAAGGGGCAGAAGCCCGAGCATCGGCCAGTTCGTTCTGAACAACCCTCGAGTTCACTTCGGCAACGTAGTGTCAGTTTTTATCTGTGCAGTGCAAGTTCTCTTG